CATAGACAAAAGTACAAAGCAGTGAAAATCGTTAACAGGCAATCGTTCGATGGGCTGAATTGCACAAAACGCATGATCGCACCGGCTAGTCTGGTGCCTACCATTTATTTCATTCGCGAGTTATGAATTTTCCCGCCATAGTTTTCACGTGCCCGTACGTGAGCCCTATTTATTATGTACTTTCCTCTGTGTTCCAAGTGCTTATTATATACTTTCCCACACAGGTCTTTGAAAGTGAACCATATTTATAAACAGACCCGGACTTTTGCAGCAGTGGTGCCTATGCTGTTGGGAGAAAGGAGAGGGGGAGGGGAAGGCGAAAGACCGTTTTCCCCCCTTGAGTCCGATTATGACACAGAGAGAACTCTAGAATGCTCAAAGTTGAGAACCAGGGCAGCTAAGGGCACAGGAACAAGTACTGAAACTAAAACAAGTGGCCTGCGCATCGAATGCCAGTGCGAAGATGCGTTCTTTGCATAGTTCCCCGCAGATTTTTGCCGCTAACGGCACTGCTTTCTCAGGCAGATACTTCTAGCTAAAAGAATTGAGACTGACCGCCAGGACTGTCAGGAAGTATCCCTTTAAAATTTCAACTTTCTAGCTTTCCTGGTTCCCGAATTAGTAGCTTATCCACAAAAAACTTTCATGGGCTCATATACAGGAACCACAAATACCCGGAGGCTAGGTTTGAACTCCTTAGGACCTACGTGGACGAGTGATATCTCCTTAAAATTTCAGCTTCCTAGCTTTTCTGGTTCCCGAGTTAGTAACCTACCCAGAAAAAACCTCCATGGGTCCGCACTTAGGTACCACGCGGGTAAGAGCGTCCATTTTGAGGGGTTGGGGCCGTGCATGCAGACCAACTTTTCAAAATTTCAGTCCTGTAGCTTTTATAGGTCTTGCGACGAAAAATAGATATACACACACACGAACATACACACACACGCACACACATATGCACGCACGCATAAATACAAACACACACATCCACACACGCACACATACAAACACACACACACGGACACACACACACACACACGCACACACATGCACGCACGCATAAATACAAACACACACACATCCACACACGCACACATACAAACACACACACACACAACCTCTCGTCAATACGTGTTTTCTGCATTGCATAGTTGCAAAAAAACGCATAAAAACGACAGGGAAGTAGAAAAGCAGGACGAGGCAAACAAGAATCCTGGCAGCATGACCGCAAGAAGTATCAAAGGAGACAATGATACCGAGCACGGTTGACACCGAAACCGGGGCAGGAACTCAAGGGGAGAACACAGCAGGTGCTGGAGGAGCTCGGTGCATCCCGGTCCCTGAGTCCAAGTGGTCCGGTATCACCCAGATGCATCGGGCTTCGGCCAGCAAGCGAATTTGCTTCATTTCCCCTATGGAGTGTTGCTGCAATTCCTCGTGCAGCGTGTAGCACCCCCAAATTACCTGCCCAGAACCCTGAAGAGCAACACCCCGGCTATGGACACCTTGGATTAACCCGCACCCCCTCCCCCTCCCTCCAAGGAATCACATTTCGAGGGCACGATAAAGAGCACCCGCCACGAGTAC